AACTTCCACTCAGAATCGCAGAGGCGTTTGAATATGTAATATGGCTAATGCACTGACTGTTACAAGTCAATGAATGCCTTGTTCAATGTTTTCCCTCCAGACAGGTCTATCGCTGACTTTGACCTAGGATAGATGGAAAACTTTGTTGACCTATGCGGTATCAGTCCGTGGTTTGATCCCCACAACGTGCACTTGGTAGTACCGCCACCTGACACTTCCACAACTCAATTCAGCAAATCCGACCTGGAGTCTACAGTATGGGAGATATGTTTGCTTTAGAAGGCTGATCAGGCTTGACGAGAATGTCCTAGAAGCACTAAATAACAAAACCTCACAGACAAGACACTGTAGCGCCACATACCCACTCTCAAATACCCGCACCGAAAATTATTCTGAAAAAGGGATTTAAAATTGCTTCTTTCTTAGGTTGGCCAACTACTCAGGAGAAAAACAAGTAGAGGAAATGAGACATCCACCCCTAAGAGTTTTTCTAAATAATCTTCCGTTCCTCGCCAATGATCTTCCCAACAGAGCTACAGTAAGCATTTGATGGATATGGCAAAGTTAAGACGGCCATAAGAAATCATAACGGTAAAATAATAGAAGATAGTGATAAATAAAATTTTCAGCAGAACAACGAAACTGTACAGTATATATCACTTTATTAATCGACAGAATGATAACAAGAAATACTACGTAATCATCTGCAGTACTCATAGCACGCGCCACCCGTAACATCGAATATAGTGCTGATCACGATTCAGCTTATGCAGTAACTCAATCTCTTCTTCACTCAGCTGGAGGTTCGTCACCTGAACTTTGCGAGATTAGTAAACGCCTAATTTGAACGGCATTTTCAATACAGAAGAAGGTTAGGCTAGTATTTCAATAAACGAGCCATGCTTTTTAAGTACTGCAGGAATTGTATACGAGTCAAGTGGCCTCTCACGGTCAATGCATCAAAACAATGATTTCTCGGGTCTAGACCCCTCATTTTGCCAGGATGAAAATTGAAAAGTTCGACACGACTAGCCAAGGTCGTCGCTAGCGCCGTGACCTGATTTTGCAGGTAACCGTTACGCGATGCGCCTGTTGACCCACACTCTCGGAACGGCCTTTTCGATGGCTAGACTCTTGAAATTTGTACTCGCAGCAACCTAGCACGACTACAAACTCTACTTTCCAAACAGAACTTTTTATCTCTCACCTCCAAATTCTCCTTGATCCGTTGTGGACTCGTGGACTTCGGTACGATCCCTACACCTTGGCTCAGCGCAAATGACAACAGAATTATCTAAATTGAAGAAGTACATCCGAATTTAAGTAGCAACTTTAATGAAAAACTTACAGGAACTGTGGTATTATGGGTTTTCGCCAAATCGACGACTACTGGGTCATTGACGAGTGCAGGCTCATGTCGAGCTAGCGATGAGAATGCCTGAACATGCTGCTTGTTGGACAATTGCAAATATTATTATTACTATACATTCTACGCCTGAACACAGCTGATTCCTTCTCATTGAGTATGACCCTATTTGCATGATGAATTGGTAAAAGCCTACGGCGAACAAAATGTTCTTGGATAACAGGGAACGGTCAGGACAATGAAAGAAAAAACAAAGAAGCACATTCCAAAGAGATTTACAAGTTAAAAGCCCATGTCTTACAAAGAACATATCAAAATGGGTGAAAATTTTCTGTAAAAGACTTGGTGGCCGATTCATTAATTCTTCACTGGTACTAGTTGGAGGAAACAGGTCGAGAAACATTCTCCCGAGAACATTAAAAAATGGTGGTAGCACAAAGGAAATATAGGAATCAGATAAGAGAAAAGTACGAAGTGCACTGTCAGAGGTGAGATATGGTCACTCGAATCGGTCAAGAAGGGGGACTTCACTCCAGCAGCCACTTTTAAGCTGACAAGCTATATACGCCCAAAGTAATGAAAAATGGGTTGCTTGGCGTCAGTCTAGTCTTATAACCTTTGGGTTTATTTCGCACAGATCAAGGATAAAGGAGAGAGAAAAAAACCATGCGAATATAGTCTAATTAATGAGCCTTGAGGTGCAAAAAAATCAGATCGGATCAAGTATCTGGGATCGATCTGCATAGGAAGGCGAAGAATAAGTCCCATCGACGATTGATGCTCTACAGCACTAAAAACTTCCCTTCTAACCTTTGTTAGATGTTTACTAACAGTAACAGAGGGTAACACAAACCTGGAAGAAAATTCCTTCTTTTTTACAGTAATCTTTCAATTCATCTCGTGTAAAATGAGGATGATACTCCACTTGATTCGCGCATGGCATCATCTGAACACTCCAGTTATCAGGAAAGTAAAGAAGTGAATTCAAAAGAAAATTCATCGAATCGTGTTCACTGGAAATAAGTTGCCACCTTTCCATAATTTTTGATTTCCTCAATATGGCGTGACTCGTAGTTTGATACTCCGACTGATCGAATTTTACCTTCGTCTGGAAAAAAGAACTAATTTCTACAAGCATGTTAGTAATTGATATCGAACAGAATGAAATCCAAGTTGAATGATAACGATTGCGCGATCTCTATCATTTTAGTAGTGGAGGGGAGACAGGAAGAGTGTTCAAAGCTTAACCATCTTTGGTGGAGCCTTCAGACAGCAATGATTCATTTCCACTTTAGCTGGCGAAAGCAGATGAACGGTACTAATTTTGGAATGTTTTACAAGTTCCGAGGAGGTCTAACATCATACGCACTCCGAGCGCGAGGTTGTATCCCTTTAAGTCTTCCCGGAATCTCCTGCACTTGAAAACACAAGTCCATATATGATATGCTTCCTTTCGTCAAAAAGAGCCCTCCTCATTTGTCTCTTACACTGGTATCCATCCGATCCACCTATCTGAACTATTCGAGTAAAATTGAACGAACCTTTCATTTTCTCGAGCTCTAAATAAGTGAGCTTCCGATGAATTGGATTTTTTTCGTCTTTTTCTTCCGATGTTTGAGCTTTCGGATAGTGAATGAGGACCATGTCGAGATAGCTTAAAATGACTGTAGTAACTTATTTTGAATCTTTAAAACAATCATATACTCTGTTTTCAGATTCTCCAGAGATTCATTAACAAGCCGCCTGGCAGCAGCCGCAGGATCTTCAGGGTCAGGGAAAAACTTCGTAGTGAGGAAGATATCAGAGCGTGATAAGCCATGCTTTGGAAGCAGTTCCTAAAGGATTGTGGGGTATTTCACACGAAAGGACCTGCTGAAATTTGGGTCCTACCGATAGTGCAGATCCCAGCTCCGGCTCATTCACATAGTATTTAGCGGTGTCAAACAAGCGATATCCACTGCCTAATGCTGCATCGACAGCCGGTTTCACCTGAAATTTGACCTCATCGTAATCAATGAAATAAAAGTCTTTGTAAGCTTCTTCGACAGTTGCTCGTAATTAAATTGAAAAAATGTGAAACTGGATATTGACCTCGCACCTGAGCTCCAGTAATTTTGTAGGTTCCCAGACCAACTAGAGGTATATAGAACTCAGTGTTGAGCTTGGCTGCCCCTCCACGTACCGCTTGGAAAGCGGAGGTCATTTCTGAAGGAAGAAGATTCACACTTACAGGAACGCTATAAAAAGACTTTTCTGCTGTAGCCTGAGAGGAAGGCAAAGAGAGACTCTCCGTCTTTCACAGGTTTTCACTGAAATTTTCTCATGTGGACTATGTTTACGTCTTCAATAACCATAACAAACAAATGAATTGTTGAACAAATAAATAAATACATACACAAACATGAAAAGGTAGTACTCAAAAATTATCGAAAAAAAGTGAGTGGATTTACGAGCTCAGAGAGTGCATTCTGAATCTTGAGATTATTTTCAGTATTGAGCGACGAAATTCCATCTCTATAAACTCGCATAAAGTAAACAAAAAGCAAACAAATCTAGCAACCCAGACCGGAAAAACCTAAGAATTTTCCTTTGAAATTCTCTCTACAGTATGTTCAAAGATCATTTGTACTAAATCTCAATCTATCATGGCAGCTTTCACCAGCTATAAGTAGAGCAAGCACCCGTCTCCAATTCAAAATCGAGTTTGAATGATCTTAAGAAAGCGATGTTAGTAAAGAATGAACAGAAAAGCATGCAAGAACACTTTTCTTGACAAATGCTGGTAGATCTCTGGTTCAAACAGGCTGGCACATACATCACCGAGGAGGTATGCAGCGAAAATCTTCCCCGATTTCTGCGTTTTCCAAGCAATGAATGAGTAGAAAAGACTAATGAATAAACAGAAAAAAACTGTACGGTTATGATATGAGGCAGCATCTTGACTTAACGGAGGAACCAAAAGAAATCGATGCGACACAAAATTAAAAGAAACACAAAACTTATCGGACACCATTGAGTAAAAGAAGAGTTTAAGTTGTGAACAAATTCGATGACGATCAGTTAATAAAGAGGCCAGGTCGACTTTTTTCTTTTTATTGACAAATCAATTTTGAATTAATGAAGTCAACGATCGGACCACCTACCGCGAGTTATTCGTAGGCATATACTGGCCCAGAGAGCGAGTGACCTTGGTGGACTATCGCTCGACAAGTACCCATATGTAAGTTAGACGTAGGTTACACCGTCTGCTGTGCAACCACAACAGTTACAACGTTTTTGAAAGCAAGTTCCATTGCCTCCCTGGCTAAATGTTGTTGCTAAATAACAGACTTTTTCAGCACTGGTTAGTTATTGTTACGAAGGAGTTTTTGATGATCCCCGGGAATATTGTTTCTAAAAGGGAATCCCATTGGTTATAATGCGCCCCATCGCCAACTATTGCCCGCGGTCTATCTTTCGGCCGATGTCAGCATTAATTACTAAACTTCGAGAATATTTTCTGGTCTCTGGTCTCTAGAAAAGAATAAGACCATAGCTACTTAATCGTCCTTAATGCCATTCCGGCTCGAAAAACCGGTTCGAAAGTCTTTAAAAGTACTAAAAGATCTAGCATATGTAACCAAGTAGTAAGCCTAAGCTGAGCTGGTCAGAGGAGCTCCGATCATTCCAAACGGTAAATCAGGAAACATGAAACTTGGGAGGTTAGAATGAATATCAAATTTCTTTATACATTCCCCAAATTTTATGGTGAATTCTAGGCAAATCTGAACGAAAAGGACGTTCTAACGAGGACGTTGTTATTTCGTGCAGAACAGTTTTTTTTTTCACAAATTGAGGCTATTCATAATAAAATTCTATCCGTAGGCTTACGGCATACTAAATTGCAATTCTGAAATTCTTCGCTGTAGAAAAAGGCTCAGCAAATTTGATTTCCGAATACGAAGGTGCAAAGCAAAAACTTCTCAAAATCACTGCGTTTCTAATAAAAGGCAAATGCATGGCGCGTTCCGAAAATGTGGATCGACGCTTACTATCGCACTTCTCTCAGTTTTTAGTTGCTGATTTCGGATTAGTATGGTGAAAAAACTAAAGATATCTGAGGTCCACTCACTATCTCCTGATACTGAGAAGTGTCTTGCTGACGTTAGTGTCCATTTGGTCAGAACTGCATATATTCCTTTAGCCATTTATCTGAACTGAAAACAAAAAATCAGCAGGGTGCTGAGCATATTTGTTGGAAATTGAGGACATGAAAGCACTGTCACAGGAATGCAAACTCAGTACACGAACTCGGTTCCTACAATAACCTTGCGGTGAAATAAAATGCTATGGACGCAGAATTTTACGGACAATATTCCCTTTCACGGTAGAAGTATGTCTGCGAATATACGAATCTTCAACTCGTCACATATACGACGCATCGAGCAGGAAACTTGACAAAGATACGGTGAGGATGGGCGTATTTCGTATGGCGCGATCCCTCCCATCGCGCCGCCCATTCGGCGCGGTTTGCGAGCTGGTCAACTCGTCCAAGCAACATGGAAAAGCCAAATAGACGACGTAGACAGGAAGAATGGCGGACGGCCAAGTCGTGCGTCCGAGGGCGTGCGCGGCAAATTAGTGCTAGCGCTTAGTTTATACCTGTTCTCACGACTTTAGCGCCTATTATTTGGGCCCAATTTGGAAGTACAGTAGAATAGTAGGATCAGCTGACCTTACTAATCTACTTTACTTCAGATTTGGGCTCCAATGATAAACGCCGCAGTCGACTCAATCCGCTACGAACTTCGCCGCGCAATTTGCCGCGCGCGATTTCGGACGCACGACTTGACACACACCCCAGGAAGAATACGAGCAGGTCCGCAATTCGGCGTCTGATAGCAGCTTGGCCATCGATTGGACTTCTATCAGCTGAAGAGGCAGTCGGTTGCCTGATCACTTGGACGAGTTGTCCATCTGTGTCGCGTCAAGAACACTCGTTCGAGTAAGGATCGACAGCTGGATTACTGTGGAAATCGAGTTCCCAAGCTCGGTTTTCGTTTCCATTTCGACGTAAGTAATCGGAAAAAGCTGGACCGGAGAGTAGAAGGTGGTGGTGACCATGATTACGAGCTGTATGAGTACCCTCATTGAAGAACTGGTTCTCTAGAATGAGATGAAATAGATTTACCAAAAATGGGACAAACGAAATGGCTATTCGATGAGCATAACACAGTCTTCGAAGAAGAAAAAGGGGCAGACGGCTTGATATCTTATCTATGAACTAAATTCCTTCAGTGTTAGTCTCGAATAGTGTCCGAGTTTACTGCGAAATCAGCTACAATATGAAAGATCTTGTCTTTCATGGTTTAGGAGACATTCTCTATGTTTACCACCTTCGATAAAGTATTAAGCACATTAATTTCAGGTCATCTTTACCTATTTAGATCATCGTAAAATCACGTTCAGGAGGTGTCCAGCTACGAGTACGGCCACTATTTTTAGTGGCAGTTGTGTTCCTCGAAAAAGGAAAGCAATGGGGAAGAGGGATGGCTGTTTCGAGGGGAAGACGGGAGCTACGGTTAGTATAGAAGGGAATATTTCAAGTGAGACTATCAAAAGTCTGCTTGAATAGAAGCCCTTCAGAAACACTTTAAATNAATGGTTGTACTGGTTTTGCTACCACTAACTATCATTAGGGTAGGGATCACCATGGTTTTTCCTGCCAGCAGTTTTCCTTGTTCCCTTCCTTGTTCACAAGTTTATCATGGGGTTACTTACAATTAGTGTCGAGAAGATAAAGAATCCCCCTAAGCAGGATAGCCAATATAGCGAATTGCTAGAGACTACAACAAAACTAGAGAAATTGATGGTAACAAGTAACCATTAGCCAATATAGCGGACGCCATATTGGCTAATGGTTACTCGTTACCATCAATTTATCTAGTTTTGTTGAAGAAGTCGGCCATCTACTCCTCCGTAGCGTCTACATCAACCCAATGGCTACTTTCATAGTCCACTTGTCCGCGATTTGGCCCGCGAGCGCGCGAGCGAGCGATTGGGGAGGCGCTTGCCCCTTGTTTACAACAGAATCTTGGTCGATACGCCGGACGAGTAGTACCCCGGTTGGCTCGCGCGCTCGCTCGCGGACTATGAAAGCAGCCAATGGGATCAGTCCATACCCATAACGCGCATCGTAGCTTTACCCCTTCTAGTTCTACGCCTATAGCTACACCTATCTACAGCTCTCGGCAGTACTGTACAATCCAGTGATAACAGCAGTTAGAAAACCCCTTAACGAAAATTACTGTGGGGCTGAACCCTACCGTAATTTCCTGCGGTAATTGCCTCAAACCGCTTCTATACAACCTATCGTGTAATTGAGGTAATTATTCTGCTACAAGAAATATTAAGCAATATTACGGTAAGCACTTGGGAACTGTAACCATGCACACAAAAAACCGGAGCCTGTAATTCAATCGATTTGGTATGCGCCACACATCCTATTCTCAATGGAAACGCGAGGGTGGTTCTGTGCCAGTGGTTTTTTACCTTTGAGGATAAAGGGGTGGGGTGGGTATCAAAGATCTTGTTGTTCCCCCCTTTCCCCNTCTAAGCCCTGAACTACATTCCTCACGCCGACCTTTCCTCTTTCGTACAGCGCAGCCGTAGTTGTAGACCCCTTTAGTTCAAAAACTTCCGACTTCTCTATTCTCGTAAAAGATCAATGAATGTTCCCGATACGCTCTTAGAGACCCTTGACCCCTTTTACGAGTGGAACTACCCTTTTCAGATGTGATATCGCTGAATGCTAAAAGAACCTGGTTTGTGACATCTCCGGAACGCACCAATGTTCCGTCTCCTTGCCGCGAAAGGCGGTCCGCGTCAAACAATGCGTGTTCTTCGCAGTTGCACATTGCTTACGCTAATTTACGGTTCACTGCTGCCTGTATTAGCTATGGATTTGCTTTCATCAATTTAAAACAGTTATATGGCTCCATGTTATTATATTCGACATTGCCTTCATCTCATATTCATTCTTTGTACTCAATGCTCTGAGAAAGTTGCTCACTTAGAGGAGTAATTGGTGGTTTTGAGTCACTTCTATCACCGGTGCTTTTTGGTAAAAGAATGATGGGCAATATTATCCTTACTGGATTTGCTATGGTCTTTCGTGAACATCATCGAACCTTCCGGTCAATTCATATGGTTGTTCGATAACCATGGAACTCATACAAGTTTTNTTTTGGCAAGGGTTGTGTCGCTAACTTGGCGCTGAATAGTGCTGATTTGAGAATTTTGTATCGTTTCACGATGAATACAATTAGTAACCTCCTTGGATAGAGGACTGCTGAAGGATTCTTCATTCGTTTGGATCGTGGCAGTTGAAGAGTATCGCTCTACCCGGTCATTTTTTGCATCGTTCATAAAGGACTGTTCCATGGTACTCGTGAAGGTCGTCTAGGTCTACTCACTCGTATTACTCATTACCTTACCACGTTAAGACTACTACACATCATAAGTGCGGGAAATTTGTGAAAACATGGCGATCTTTGAATCAATCTACCCATCATTTCTATGTATTTTGAGCCTGGCTTTTCTGTCATACGCTTCATTTCTTTTCGTTTATCCGATTTGAGAATTTTTAATTCTTTATTCATTTTACACTTACACTATCCTACACTTCATTACCGCCTTTTTCATTTCTAAGTTAAATTTTCGATGGTTTCATTGGGGATCCATTTGCTAAGTGCATGATTTTGTGGAATTGACCTCCACCGTTGTAAAGCAGGGAGGTTCTAATTCGAAAAAACAAACAGATAATCACCCAGTGTGGTTCGATTGACGAATTGCAAATCGTAACCTTGGTCCGAATGGAACGGAATGAGTGTAAGTTGCAGACCGGTATGCTCGATGTTTTTATTGTTTGCTCCATTGATCGGGAACCTATGACGAACCCGCCGTGGCCAGCTGGGTAGGCAACACTTTTCAGGGTGGATCAGTGTTTCACTAGTTTTTTTTTATGTTCACTTTCAAAGTACCACTATCCTGATCTCTGATAAGGTTTCTTCATCACCCTGTATGCCCTAGTTCTATTTGTAGCAACCGCTATAGTAGTACCTATGTGAGGCCGTAGTATGGCACAGAAGATTTTATATGATATATATGTTCTGCGACCGACGTGAGTAATAAATCTTGACGATGATACTTACTAACCTGCTTGGCGGGTGGTTTCCCTACTTCTTTCGCTCAGCACGGGCAATTGATTTTCGTACGGGGTGGACTTGATGCAGGCCACCGCTTAACCGTGACGATGGCAGAACTTGTTAGAAGTTGTGCTTACTTGCGACGTGAGTAGAGAAATGCACTAACAGCAATTTGGAAGCAGGTGAGTTCATTAGGGTCCTTAAGTTTGGGCAGCTTTCGCGTGTGAGTGATTCCTTTATGTGACCAAATTGTTATCACTCTTGAATATACATTTGTACCATTGTGTATGCATAGAACGGTCTGATATCCCGTTACGGAGGAAAAACGCGCGCAAGTTGGTGTTCTATGATTAGCATCAGGCATCAGTATCAGTTTTTCTAAGGCCAGTCTTGATTCAGTATGTCAAATTGTTGCAGTCATTTCTGCGACTTGTACTGGGCATTTAAGGATGAAAAACCTTTGCGACCCATTCTTTTCGTCGTCCGCTTGCAAACTTTTAACTACGTGCCTCCATTGTTTCAAAGTGGTTGATGACCTTCTGTACAAGGGACATGTGCTCGACCATTTCTCTCAAGGTCTTCCAAAAAAGGGCATTATTCATTAATTAATGAGACCTACTTTTGGCTTCCGGTGAGATCATTACGAGAGACCCCTTGTAGTGAACAGTAATGGGACGGTGAGGGCGTTTTATGGAATTTCGGTCGACTGAGCGAAAATTTTTTCTGAATTGTGCTGTCCTTTTCAAATGTGATCGCCACAGCTGCAGAAATTGTGTTTAGGAAGGTAGTTTGCTTAGTATTATATTATTGCTGCTAAGGAAGCCCAAGGTTTATTCGTAACATTATCTAAAGGTGAAGTTGGTCGGAGCTCGCAAGCGTTATCTCCCCAACTTTTTGGTGTGACAAGGAGAAACATTCTGTTTAATTAGGTTGTGCTCGGTAATTGAAGGTTTTTCGTGCGTCTCTGAGTTATGACATTTGAAATTTCACATGTTTTGTTATTTTTACATAATCTGTTGTCGTATTTGCTTTGCATTCTTGCTTTGTGCTTTTCGAAGTAAACGTTGCTTCAGATAATTCCCTGTCGAGAATAATCAATATGGATAGCGCAGGTGTAACACCAAATAATAATAGAAAGGTATTCGTATTCGATCCTATATGTGGCACAGTACTTCACGTAAATGCTGTAGGAACTTCTGTTTTCTTTTCATGCCTATTCGGTCCTACTTATAGAAACACGGGCGTCGTCGAGTTGCTGATAGTATTAGTAAATCTCCAGCACCATCAGCTCAGGTATCACCTGCAACCAAACTCTTGGCTGCTCTTAGTAAAGCTCAGGTATGGAATCAATCGTTGTTCCATGGTGGATGAAGGGCAGCTATTGCTCACATGTGCTTCCTACTCGAGCTTCAGGGGAAGTCCGCTCCTGAACAAATAACGCCTTCGCGGCCTGTTGGTCAAAATCAAAAATCTAAAGCTGAGTCGACTACGCCAAGGCAGAAAGCAGAGACTCGAAAAAAAGCTGGTGCAACTCAGAGTCAGGTCCGTTCACTTGTCAATTTGCGAATTTCGAGGCCGATATTGCGCCCAAAATTGTTTCAGTACCTTTCATTTGTTTCGTCGTAGTTCTCTTGTGGCTATTTCTTGAAGTGTCCAGAATAATCAATAATCACGACTTTGAAAAATTGTTGAAGTGCTAGCTTCTCAATAGCGTGGATGTATACTGTTACTTCAAAGCAGGGCTTTCCAGTCATTATAAGCTCCACGCGCTCAGGAGTCATTTGACTTCTGAAAAACCCAAAGAAACAGCTGAGCGCAATTAAGAGTCACGAATTGCTGGTGAGCCAGTCCGAGTGGTGCTGTGGAAATTCATAGGATTTTACTTTGCGAACGGAGTTATCTCTGTACATTCCAAATAAGCAAGCACAAAAAATGCGCTTACGAGGCAATCATTTAAGCTACCTAGTGAGCGAGTTATTATATTTTCAAAGATCGGATATTCCACTGATGACAGGTTCCAAAGGCATTCACAAAGCGTGAACTTTTTTTTTTTTGAAAAAAAGTCTTTCTGAATTATCACACTTATGAGTATGCAACGCTTTCCGTGGTGTTCATTGATCTCAGGATGACATTACAACACGTTCGCCCATGGCGACCAGTTTCCTTTCGCTGTTTTCTGCCGCTCTAGCTTTTCTTAAACAAAGTATTGAGTGTTGACTGACGGTCTCATTCATTTCCAATGTCTTTTTTATTTTTCTAGCGGCAGTACTTCTTTCTACACCTGATGATATTCATTTCTGGTGACAGCATCTTGCAAATTTCGTTACCGATTTCAGAATCCCCCACCAACAACAAATCGCGGGGTCGAGAATGTTGGAAGTGTGGGTGCACGAATGAGTCGAAATCAAGTGACAATGGATGAAGCAGGGCCATCAACGTCAAACTCACGAAGAGTTCGAGACAATAGTTATACTGTGGGTTTTTTTTGGATGTTTTTCATTCCTTTTTGCTTTGAGCATATTTTTCAATTTTCATCTCAAAAGTAGGGGAGCAGCACTAGAAAGTCATGATGTTCTCGTCTATGATCCAAAAATGTACTCACAAATTGACGCTTGTGTAGCAAGATTCGAGAAATGAGAAGGCTTTTATGTTTTACTTGCAGCAAAATCATACCACAACAGAGTCCTACTCTCTATGGGCATCGAGTCCTACAAAAGCATCTCAATCAGTTCCAAAGATTCCATCCGAAGTTCTTCAAGATCTTTCGTTCCGGTTTTTGGCGAATATTCCAGATGAGGAGGTGACTTTTTGAATGATTAACCTTCTAGAAGTTTTGTTGTAGCTCGCATGTGATCTGTTTTTGTTTGCACATTCTGAAAGGTAGGAACAATATTTTCGGGGTTTTGAACATACTGTAGCTTTCGGTTCAACTCTTAATCCTTTTTTCTCACGGTTAACGCGTGCGATGATGCTTTAGGGTACAACTCAAATCTAAAGTGGCGTTCGAATCAAGTGAATACTTTTCGTCAAAATTTATCTTGATCGACTTATAAAAGCGCTGTTAGTTATGACCCCTCGAAAATAATAAATCAAGAATGCCTGAACTAGTTTGCGTTGCTGATAAGACTCGATAAGAACCGCGTCATGCGAATGTGAATAGGAACTGAATCGCAGCGCCTACTCGCATGCACGAGAATTTCACTCGGAAATGAGACAACCCGAAACGGACAACCAAACGCGAAACCTTATGCATTTTTTCCACTCAGAAGTCGGACAAGGTTCGAATGTGCTTTCAAGTGGAATTGGCGCATTGGTTCTATATTGACTTCTATTGTAAACAAGAGGAAAGGAAGGATTGTGCTCAAATGGGAATGCGAGAGTTTGCCAGGTCATCATCCTCCCGATTCTTCTTTCTTTTCAGTGGTGCTACTAAACGAGTTAATTTTTTGAGGTTTTAGGCAGATTTTCAAACACTGTGATGAGTTAGCCCCTTACGCCACACACGTGGATCAGGTAGTTCCATAAGTCGTCTCTCTTTCATTTCCTCATTGTGTTCGAAATATCTACCAATCGCACGGTCAAGCCTGGGAGTTATACAAATTTTTAGGTGATTGACGAGTGGCGTTGGTACAAGTCTACGGTCCCTACTTATGGTGCGATTCTACTGGATGAGACACTGAACCACGTGCTACTCGTGCAGGGATTTTATGCAAGCAAGAACAGCTGGGGTTTCCCCAAGGGGAAGGTAAGTTGATACTTGGTAAAAGAGAAGATCATTTGGCATGTATTTTCAATATTCATTTTACATCCTTTTTTCGATTCTTGTTTTGTATTGATAGCCGGTTAGTGAACCTTTATGAGTTGGCTGCTGAGGCGGACCCTTATAGAGTTGGCTTCATTCCATCACTGTGAACTTCAGCCATGACATATCGTAAGAACAATTTCCGTAAAGCATTGCCATATGAATGTGACCCTCAACGGTCAAACCTAAAGTTGTAAAGTTTAGATTAAAAATGGCTTCCATCATCAACTTCTCCCTTTCCTTGCCTTCGGGTTGCTGGGTACCTTTCTTAACGCTGCCAGTCTCAGCGCTGTTACAGGAACGAATTTAGGGTCCGTTTCATGGGTACTGAGTCCTGAGTGAGCACTACGCTCATCGGGTTGTTCACGTGTTCCACATGCACCTTGTTCCACCCCTGACTTGATCCGGTCTGTCCAATGGACTGACTGGTGACGCCGAATGACGTGGCGGGCTGGCATAGCGTTTTTGTACGAAAACGTTCAAGATAGGTATTCCAGTCGTGTGTGGACGCTCTTATTGTATATTTCCGAGCCTCTTTAGAATGTGGATCAAAATTTGGTACTGTGGGCTCCCATGGTTAACCCATTTAATATTTTCGACGATTAAAGCGAGAACGTTGAGGTATCAATGGATTTTCGAAGGGAAAAATAATTTGAACGGTTCACAAAGTTCATTTTAGTCCGTTTTACGGTGGACTTTGGACCACATATTTATTCTTGCCTCTCGGGAATGGTCTAGCCACGCAGCTACTAATTTATAGCCAAACCACCCTAAATTCCTCGGTGGAGCGACACAGCTTCCACAGTCATGACGAGCCGCTGAAGACACGATTGAGGCTGGTCGTCAATAACGAATTGCTAAGGTCATTAGTTCTGAAACAGTCCGTCAGTGCATGGAAAACTAAGTTATCTACGCGCTCTGACCTTCTTTCATCATATTTTCTTGGAAGTAACTTTTTATTTTCCTTAGTGTTCGAGAAAGTTTATTTGCTCCTTCTCTTCATCATAAAATTTCAGGTCAATGAGGGCGAGGAGCCACGCAGCTGTGCTGTGCGTGAGGTCTTTGAAGAAACAGGATTCAATTTCGGCGATCATCGCCCTCGAGGTGGAGAGAAGAAACTGCAGAAATTTTTGAATGAAACTATGGTGCGGTTGTACATCGTGCCGGATGTCCCTACTGACTTTCCCTTTGCACCACAGACACGGAACGAGATCAGGTGATTGTTTATCTAGTCAGGATGGCTTTATATGTTGGACGTCCTACCACACACGCATGGTCACGGGTTTGAATTCCCGGTCGATTTCCACTTTTATCAAAGATATTTATCCCTATCGGGTCGGTTAATTGGTAATAGGCTCGTCTGGGAGCATAAAAGGACAGCTTGTATATCGGCTGACCCCCACAAGTATTGTATGGGCCACATACGCATTCATTATGTTTCTACGATTCTGAATGGAATCGACTGCGGGGGTGCATCTCTCAGACGGGATTGATTTGTACTCAAAAATTTATCGGTTATATGTTTGTTTTATCGTTTATGTAATATATATTTGTGACCGATTTGTTTCATGCGTGGTAATCTGTTTGGTGAGAGGAAAGTGCTTTAGGAATTTCCCTGCTAATTCATATATCAGAACTAGTTGCTAAGATCGACAATACTTTAGGAAGATACAATGGTTCAACGTCTGGGATCTACCAACGGATCGCAACGATCAGTTTCATCGGTTGGGTATTCTATCCAACCACAACTTCTACACTGTAATGCCATTTGTGCAAGATCTACAAAAATATATTGTGCGAGAGCAGGAGAGAAGGGCACTTGCTGTGGGTTTCATGTCTATCATTTGGAAGTATTTTATGTTTTTGTAGAAGCTTCTATCAGTTGTAAATGACGATTTTTCAGGCTGCCGATAGTCAGAAATCGCGTACGAAAAATATAGTGTTGCCGACATTCAACGATTCTCATAATAAAGGTTGGTCTTTTGATCTTTCCTTCGGTTAGCCGTACTATGATTGCTATTGTATTTGTTCCTTCTGAAGGTTCTCATAATGCTCATAATGTACCATCGTCGGACATCTCGACTGTAATGGATGCCCTTTTCTCCCCATCAGTATTCCCCGGTGCACCTGGTGCAGCTCCTGGTTATGATCCTAAGCGATTGATGGTATGTTCATCCCTTTGAGGTCTATGTTCAACCATACCCCAGTGCTGTTTCAGTCAGCTCAACACGCACCAATTCCGTCGATTGGTGAGCCCATATCGGTGGCTACTTCCAATGTTACTAACAGTCTGTCATCGCGAGCGCCACCTCCTTATGTTTCCCGCGACTCTATGCTTGACACAAAACCTCCACGGTTTCATGCCGAAACTATCTCAAATGCTCCACAGTCGAGTCATTTTCGTCCATTGGATCAGAGCCCTTTGAGCAAGAGCGTTATGAATGTGCTTGCAGGTGAATTTTTATAGCTTTGTTTCTTCTATGATATCTCGTCTTACGGTGCTCTGTCTTAGGGTCAACTAGCAACATGGCTCGGGGGTCTACTGACAAGGTAGTGCCAACAATAGCGCATCCCATTGCGATACCTGCCCACGCGGCACCTCCGCCTCTTGTTAATCGACCTGTTTATGTTGCTCCAAGGGAGAAACAAGCAAGGATCAGCCTCAGTGAGACATCGGTAAAAGGCGAAAATGCTGTAGATTCAATATTAATAGGTCTGCTTAATTCTTTTCCGCTTTAGGCGTTCAAAGCATTTAAATCTCCATCGATGGCCTCATCTGTGGAAATTCCATCAACATCTACTGACAAAATTGAGATGGAATTGCACAAGTTGCTTTGTGCATCCTCTGATGGTGACGGGTCGGTGGGTGTTGCTCCATCTACTGAAGACAAGACTCCTACAGGATTCTTGGACAGTCTTAGGTATTTACCAGTTCTGTGTTTTCTGTTTTATTTATTGACGTTTGCACTACCCCTGATTTTTGTGCTGGGATTTCCTTCGATGAGAGAATTAAACTTCCTATTGAAAGTGTGATTTCTGAAAAGTCTCATTCTAAGCTTCCTTTCAACCCCACCCTGGATTATTTTTCGAGAAGCGATGCTTTGAAGTTTCGTTCCAACATAGTCCTCATTCCAGCCCGGATACTGATTTGGGGTCAGAGTTTGCATTCATGACGGGCAGTACTGGCGATGCCAACCACACTGGACTGGGATACGTACTTCCCTACACACGTGCTGATGGTTTCATTGTTCAGCTCTGTGATGCTTGGAAGGATTTCAAGGTATAATATTTTATCATTATCTTTCTTCCTTTCTTCTTCGTCATGAAAAGGGCTTCTCTTTAGTTGGACAGAGCTGCCATCTTTGCCGGGCTTCCTGGATTCGAAACGGTCCGCTAGAGTTTAGCTACTCACGGACAAAACAACTCTTTTCTCTCTTCTAACCGTATATTTTGTCTTTTTTCTCTTGAAGTTTTTTAACTATTATTTGAAGTTGTAGATGTTTCTTAGTAATGTAATTTCTATTAATTGTGCTTATAATTCGTCTATTTCCTTGATTTGTGTGCTCGTCTCCTAGCTTTAGATGTTATGCTGTTTGTTGCTGCCCAAAAATTTGTCGCTTGAGAATTTTGTCTAGTTATTCAGACTTCGCTACCGTCGCGATTGGCTTATTTATGAGTTGTTCATTCAGGAAAACTTGTCTGCTGCTATTTGTCATCACAATTTTGCATATCAAAACGTAGTACTGAGCAATAGGATACCAACTCTATTATCCTCTTATGCGGCACCACCGAATTATTAGATTAGCGGTCTGTAAACGCTCTCTCATTTTTGTTCTCACCCTCATTTTCTCGTGTAAAACGCCTTATTTGACAGAATCGTGGCCGGCGCCGCCTTGAATTCATTTTTGCTTTTTTGTATGAAAGTAGTTCTACGGCAAAATCTTGGCTGAAGTAATGGTGAATAGTGAATTGAGCGCTTGCTACATTTTTTATTTGGAACCTGTGATTAGTTCATCGTGCACTTGTCATGTTTGCTGTTGTATTTCTTGTAAGCCTGTTCTCCTCTGATATGTTCCGTATATCAAGAAGGGTAGCTGAAACATTTTGCGTTGGCTTGGATAGCTAGCACTTCGTTGCTAGTCATTTAGTCCAAGTTTTCTCCGGGTTCAATATTTGGTTGGAATCTGACTGGTATATTGAAGACAGCGCGTGTCTCGTAGGTTTTGTTTGCCCATTTGGATTTTTTATGTAAGCATTTCACAAGGTCTCCAAGACCTATCAAATAGTGTTGCACGGAAGTCCTCTTAATCCCTTTCCTACGCGCTGTCGTCAATGTGGTAGTATGTTTCTGATTGAGCGGTTGAGCAGCTGTTATATGCTACTTGTGTTTTACTTATTTGTCTTCTCTGAGCCATTTTTAACGAAAGCTTATTTAGTTAAAAGAAAGTAATTAACGGATCGTAAATTGTATGCACTTGATCTAATACCTTATGTATTGCTTGTTCGCAGTTGTAGTTATTAATATATTTGAAGATTATTGTTCTCTAGATAATCACCTAGAAATCGTTGCAACGTCGTATCTCTGATGTATCTTCAAATAATGTCGTAAATAAATATTTATACTCGAAAATTGAGAATGTAGTTAATCTCATAAACTTGAAACAAAAAAAAAANNAAAAAAAAACGAAACACAACCAATGTAAATGAACCAAAAATCTTACACACCAATGAAACCCAACGAAAATCTGAGCCAATGGTAAAATCTCTTGAAGAGGTTTCACAAAGAGGGCGAGTTGTAGGCAAAACGTCGGTTTCGGAAGGGACTCGAACCCGTTCTTATGCTAGGCGTGTTCCGGGCTCTTCATTCTTTACACTAGTGAGGCCGCCTTTGCCCTCGCGTTTTGGAGGGCTCCCAACCTATAGCCTATCGTCACCTACATGTACAAAGTGATAAGCTAGCTAGCCAACAACTGGACTGTGCCATTAGGCTGTGAACCGTTTTTTCTCTCCTCTTTTTTTTCTGGTATTTCTCGTGGAGCTGTTAGGGCTATCATGCTCGGGAAGAAGGGGTGATACGTAAAGAAAGCCAAATATACGATTGACAGAAAGCCGCAGTCTGTAAGGGTTGCTTCTTGAGCGTATTTGCTCGTAAGTGAGGAAGACATCACCCGTCTATACAAGATTTAAATAGATAGTCTGAACGATAAAGGCACTTTTGAGATTTATTTTCGAGATCATATCCTGTCCCTGATCACTTCTTTGCCTAATTCACGCTCAACAATCTGTAAAAGCTGTCGATCGAACTGACGAATTTTATTGTGCAGTATTCGACCACCGATAGATTTCTCTTCAGCAGATCGTATGTTTCGGACAGGAATATTTCTGAAACAAATAGATTCGCTCAGTGAAGAAAAAAGAGCGGCAACGCTACATTATTGGTTTGCTTTCCTCATGGGGAAAGGAGAATGGGAAATCATAAACGACTGAGCGGTGGTTCAATGAGACCTTCAGTATGCTAAAGGAGTTAACGTATTTCATACAGAGATGCATAAAATCCTTATACCTCACCCGATCCCTTTTTTCAAAGGTAAACTCCGAATGTTGAGGTGGGTCCTTATTAGGGATCACTATCAAGATGATTTACATGACAGTGGTCATTTTACGGAATGAAAGAATCCTTGGAAGCCCCAGGAAGATTGTTTGACGCATCTCCTGTAGATTTTTTGAAACAGAAGCTGATGAAGCCAACCTACTTTCGTAACGCAAACTCCCAGTCGCCACCCGAACTATAGACGTCTCGGAGGATAGTAGAGACCGCGGTCAATGTAAGGAATTTTGTGCCGCTTTTCCACCTGAAAAAAGGACTCTGAGGAACCTAAATGTACAAAAACAAATCATTACAGCGTACTTCACGTATTTGTCGAGTGGTAACTTCTTGCAACGAACTCCTTCACTAACTGCAGTTTCTAATGAAGCTTGCCGGGGTATTCCTTTTTCAGCCACACGATCGACGATTCCACCAAGCACATATACCTGAAGCCTAACTACAGTATATACTACAGCCTTGACATGGAGTTTGAAGTGCTACATCGCTCTTCTCCACGTCTTCGATTTCTTCATCGGCATCTGGACTAAGGTAGACAATCCGATTTCGTTCAAATAGTTCGGTGAAACTTTGCGGAGAAATGATCGGACTGCATGTTGAAGGTGAATCGATTACCGATAAGTGCCTGGAACAATTATACTCACCATACTACGAAATGGACTTCCTGTTAGCCTCAGTAATGGCAAACTTATGTATTACAGATGGGACAGGTGATTACTGGGTAGAGGTCATTGGTTCTCGATATTCCATACACTACCCACTGACAGTCAAACTTTTCGAGTCTGTTTAGGAACGAGGCGAAAGGTAGCAGGGTGGCTTACGTAGATGGTGAAAGGAGAGATCTATTCTTTATCTGAACCCTCCTCCCCAAACTTCAAGGGAAATAACGAGTAAATAGGGATTGCCAACCACCAAATCAGCCTAATTCACCTAATGAACCTGATCAGTCTCACTTGTTCTTTTCTTAAATAGAACAACCTCACCTGTCCTTCAATCGTCTTATTCGCTCAGAAGAGTAGTCGAAATTAGTGAAATACAGTTGCCATGGTGCCCTTAAGAGTGTTTATACATCTACAGTAACCAGAGGTTCTGATATAGTACGGTATTCATAGCATTGCCGAACCTGTCATCACGATTTTCACTTATCATATACTTCAATTGCATAGCAGTGAGTTCAGCACCACGTGGTGACAGCAATGGGAGGAAACGGCAGTCGACCACAAGGCTTGGTTCTCCACAGCGATGAGCTCGAGCCACTCTTTGCCAAGCCATACTTCGCTGATCTTTCGCTGGAATCAACAACATGGTGTCAGAACCTTCCTGAACTCCAGTTTGACCTACCCAATTTGGTAAATGGGAAGTATAATACATGTACACTTTCTTCTTGTTTTTCCTTGGGCGGTAGAGGAGTTTTGAGGCGCTTCTTCAGCAAATCCTTCTCCCGTTCCAACTCTCGATTCCGAAGGAACTTTAAATGGTCTAGGCGCTGCTTTCTTGTATGGCATTCAAGCAGAACTAACCAATCTTCAGATTTTATTTGGTCAGGGAAATGCTTCGTCAACATGGAGATTGTCTGCAATAGAAACAAAGGCCATAACATTCAAATGAGAACCTAACAATAACCACTTACCCGAACTTCTTCTACGATATCGCGTAGCTTTTGCTTCTGGCTCTCATCCAACCTCTCATCGAGTGCTCTATCGGGGAGGGTTTTGAGAAGTGGTTCGTGCCATTGAATTGGTGCTATTGTTTGGCTGTCTAATCGGAAAGCTCGGCGAAACTTCCATGCTGCTCGAAACCATATATTCTCCAGCCATTTCATCCTGAGCGTTATTCTTCAGAATTTTTATCAGCCAAGGATCAATGGACTTTTTTGTATTACAGGTATACATATAACAGCGAAAACCCCAAACCTTTACAATAAGGTTCCTACTGGCATACCCTTGCAAATCAGCATGGGAAAATCAGACTCGATTAAAGACGTGAGGTGGACCCATGGCATCCCTTTGCTTCACCCTCATCTATTCATGGTTTCTTGTTCCTTCTAGCTGGGTAGCGACTTCACCTTCTATTAAGACTCTGGCAAGAGTTCATACATTTTAGTGGTGTCAGGGGGTAGGAACCTGCTCGACTGACTATGTCGGTACCCTTCATCTGGTACACCCTAAAACCAAAAGTCACGGTACCAAGAACCGCCTTAAATCTGAGTGATTTCACCCAATACACGGGTAGTCTCAACAGAAGACCTACATTCTCATTGGCAATGTTTTTGCTGCCTGTCTGGCAGTCTTATTAATACACCATAAATTTCAAGACAAGCCATAAATATATTTGACGGTATTCTGCACTGCATCGAAATTTAAAAGGATTTTGAGGGCATTCAAAATTTTTATCTGAACAACAAATGCAACAGTAATTAACAAGCCAACAAATATTTCAACAACCTTATCGAAACCGTTGAAGAGTAAAATTGGAACAGCAACACATATATAATTTAACTGTAAAGTTCTAATAGTCAAACAAAATCACCTGCAAGATCGCGCAGTTTGCCATTTGCTAATTAATCTCATAACGAATAATCCCAACATGGATATAACCTACAACGAGGTCTACGATATTGTGCTATGAAGGTGCTTCTTTATTACCATTCGTGGAGCTCGATTCAGATGCAACAACTTCAACCTGAATTAAGAATATCTCCGAATTACCGTCAACCAAGAAAATTTTATAGGTCAATTTCTGTAATGATAGATTGGACTTCACCAAATACCTGTGCTCGGAACTCCTTCACTTTCAGGAGTCGTTGTAAAGCATCAGCATGAGTGGAACGACATGCAGGAATAGAAACGTCTATAGTTTTCTGACCATCTTCTTCAACTCGTGTCTCCACTGGTGCAACATGCAGAGCACCGCCGACTGTCCGTCGAGCTTCAGCTCGTAGCAGAACTTGTTTGGCGTTCCCTGAACTCTTCTATTATGGGCAGGGCAGTTTATTTACGCCATAAGTTAGAGCTCAGTTGTTTATAACGAGAGTCATCACATGTGTGAGCAAAACCGTTCTTAGAAACTTTTTCCTCTATTACACGATATGTGACCGGAGCTGACAGACCGCGTAGCATCAGCGGCTTCGAAGAACTGGCGAAAATGAATGTTTCTCACCACTTATTAACAATCTAGCGTCAGCACCAGTTACACCCCATAAAACAGCCATATTCATTACATCCACTGGTGCTCGAAGTTCACACATAGAGGTTGCTCCACTAGATAGTATTACGCCTCGTCCTCGTAGGCCTCTGATGAGGTACCGTCCAGTATGGAGACACTGAAAATTCCTCTCGCACAAATGGCGATCTACTTCACCAGTACTTAAGTGGCTTGAGCAAAACACTAACAGATCTGCGATTCGCAGGAAACAATGCCGGAGCGTAAGTAATTTCGAAACCGACACCTTCGATGCGGATTTTCTCCAGAAACTTGACCTTGTGCAGCCAGGACACCTAAAGCCCACAGGATTTTTGAAGGAAAATTTCAGTGGGAAATCAAAATGGATGGGAAAGCGTAACAACTACTCACGTGAGTTTCGGGGTTCATAGTAATGATATCAACGGCATCAGTTTTGCGTGTGAGTGTGTTGAGAATATTTACATCAGATGGCCGCACTGCCACAATATCGAATTTTCGAAGACGGGGATTATTGAATACGTTATGTATAACCGACGCATCATTCAGGGTGAAGGTAATGCGGCTAAAACATAAAAGACTGGGTTAATGTTAGGTACAAGATAAAGGAAAGAACTGGAACTGGAGTTTCAACCAAAGCCTCTTCAGACCCTGCGTAACAACAAGGGAGAAGGTCTTCATTCCCATAATCTGTACCAACAGTATTGCGGATCCGGTTTCCCCCAAACAGACTCTTTTAAGAACCTCCAACTCTCAAGGACCTCTCTGTGACTCAACTTTTAAATTGACATCCACGTCGTGTACATGTTATGAGCTCACACGAAAAACACGGGAGGGAGAATAGGCCCTCATTAGGAACACTTCCGATGATTTTTCTTTGCAGACACTGGTAAAAAGGAATTTCCATTATAACACGTTTTATAGCCAACATAACATCGGATGAGGATGCAAAAGAGATGAATTTCTAGATAATGGATTTGCTCTGCATCCTGGATAAGGTGAATACTTTATAGTGAAGTTACCTCAATTTCCTGGGCATTTTTGCTTCCCGCAGGAATGGTATCAGAATATAGGCACCTACCTGAATTGCCGAAATCGTTTTCCTTGTTTTTGCAGATCTGTTGTATCCAGTAGGGACTCGTCGATCGAGTATGGTTCAGGTATTTGTTGCTCTCGCGGCTAAATGATTTACTTTACCAGAACAAAACCTAGTAATCGTTAGTAATGCGCACCTTTCGATCCTCACCCTTTCGTTTTTTCTTCGGTGGCGGCTTGTCAACGTTCTCGGTGTTGGATTGCGAATTCATATGTTCTTCCTTAACAAAGCAAAGTAATAAATAAAGAAGAGCAGGCGCCAAGAACTAGAAAATGAAGCCTAAAGCTATATTCTATAAACTACCCACGACTAATTCTCCAGGAGCGATATCTCCGATGTCAATGTTAATTGCAACTGTGTCGTAACCCATTCTTACTGCACGTTTTACCATTGCTAGGGTCTTCTCAGCATTTCCTGTGTGGCGAATGTTGAGCTCCGCATACTGAAACGTGTTGCCGGCGATCTCAATGCTATTCATCTAGAACGGCCGATGTTACTGAGAGAGAAATCCAAGAAAACACATGGCGGAAAAATACTAGTACACACATATGGAAATGTAAGAAGTCCCCCGATCCTCACTCGTTGAAATTTATGTAGAGACAAAAAGGCGTAGGATACCCACCGTCTCATCGACGGCACCATGCTATTCCTGTTATTTGCACTCGAGGTCCTTGCCAGCACCGAAGCATTCGGCACAAAAGGAGAGCAAGATCCATTCACAAATACCCCTTCCAAAGGCCTTACTTTCATGCCCTTTCGATCAAAGCCTTCGAATCGCTTGGAACATCCTCTCTCTCCCTCTATAGATTTGAAGGCACCAATGTAGAGGGCAAAAGTAAAAAAAAAGAGGAAGGGGATGGAGCGGGGTGGTGAAAACGTCCCGAGCTCATTTTTCACTGATTTTCATATCTCATTAAGGTGGGACAAGTATCTGCCGCACTGAAGTATTAATATCTCGTAATTGTCCAAAATATCATATGTTATAACCTTCACCAAGCAAAAGCCACACTATATTTTGAATCTTCATAAACTTTAAGAACGCACTTGAGATTAATTCACTGTAATTACAACATCAATGTTATCAAAATAAGAACAAAATTGAAAACAACCGATCAGAGACAGGGAAAAAAATATATCAACACAAACAGATTGATACCGTTAGAATGACCGACTGAGGAAAAACTTGTGAGTATGCTCCAACCAACCGAATGTTTTCAAGGTGAGAAATGCATGATTATGGGAGCCGATCATAACAAACCAGAAGGAAACGGGATGCGAAGCGGTCACAATGGGAAA